CCTCTTTTTTTTTTTTTTTTTTTTTTATCAAGCCGACCGACTCCGATTCAGTTGTTCCTTTTTTTATCGTTGCCGAACGAACTAGCTAGCTTCGTTACGGCAACGGGAACTGCCGCATAGGAAATTATCGCGGCCGGCGATAACACTTTATTATTTACTCGGCCCCTGTCCACGCGCCACGTTCTCGCGCATGCCGCGTCCGCAGTACGCCCGGAATAATTAGCACGATGGCCTCTAATTGCGGGATGTATATCAGACGCACTTACGGTTCGAACGTCCACCGGACGTGGGTGGCTGGGACCGTCGGCGATTTCACCGTCCGACGGGAGAAAGTAATCAAAATTTATTAGCCGGAGTTACGCGGAAATAATTCTGATTTATGAGCCTGTTTAATTACGCGCGGACCAGTTTGTTGTCCCCGGTAATATTATTAAAATATGCGCCGATGGCTTCGCCGAGCGCCGCGGAAAACTTTGTTTGCCAGCGCGAGATATTTACTCGGGTTAGATTGCTGTTAATGTTGTATTTGATGTGTTAATAACCCGTTGAACTGTAATAAATACGAATGTTATTCGTTTCTTCTAAACGGAAACTAAATTTTGTTTTTCTGTTAGCAAAGTATAGGAATGAAATTAAATGTAGGGTAAATTAAGAGTAGGAGAAACAAAAATCGTCTCGTTCTATTAAGGTAATTGTTGACGACGAAGAATTGCTAATCAACGTAGCTAAAATCATTGCGCAAGAGGTTCAAACTCACGGAATTATTTCATAAGCTTCGTTAAAGTCCATTTTCATCGTTGCTATAAATTTTCTTCGAGTCGTTGCATATATTTTTTTAGCCAGCCATGCTCCTTAACGAGTGTCAATTACTTAAAAAATGACTGGCGATTTAAAAAGAATCTTCCTAGAGAATGGAAGAAAGGAAGAAATATTCTACACTGGAAATCCCTTCTTCCAAACCGAATTGAGCCATTTCTGAAGCGCTCTCCTCGTCCAATGAATGCAGAAACGTACAAAATGCAATGTAATCTGGCGTCGATCTGATAGCTAGATTCCCCGTTACATTTAATTGTTGACTCTTCGAATGACTGGCGCGCACGGGAACCTCGTGCGAAAACAGTTTCGCGCACGGTTAATTAATACATACATATTTGGCCAGTCCCGACGTTCGCAAACGTCTGAACGCGCAGCTCGCGTTTCCTCGACGTTCCACAATTTCGCTAAATAATTCGTCGCAGCGCCGGTCGTGGCTCGTGACTCATTTTGGGCTCGCTGGGCTCTCCCTATCGTCGTAAAAACGGAAAATGAACTTCGCCCGAAAGTCGCGTCGCTGCGCCCAGCGAAACTTTTGACCGTCGTTTATCGATGAATAGTAGTATTGACCGCGAACGGGCAATACTTTTTCTCCCTCGATATCAAAGACTTTGTAAACGAAATTCGGGTCGTCTTAATGCGTCATCGGACAAAATGATTGCATTATGCTCGGGATGATATCGGGCATAATTGGTCGAGCGCTTCCTGCCGAAAGGAAGAGAAAAAACGCAGGTCGAACGAAATCCAGCGAAATGAATTCTGTGTATACGCGATTCTGGAGAGTTGCTGAAAATTTATACCGACCTTCAACGGTATCATCGTTTAGGAATCGAATTCCTTCTAAACGGGATCTAGCACCTGGCGTCTGAACATCTATTCACTTTAATCGGTCCTTGAGGTACGGCAATAGCTGGTAGATTTAGTTTAACTTCCTTACCGTCCTGTGTAACCACATCGGTAATATGTGAAATGTAATCCACAATCGATTGTGGTATGACCTGATAATCTGGAAGGATTTCCCTGATGTCAGTTCTGCTATTCATAATATTCTGGCCTGCCTTACGTGCGGTTTCCGCTACTTCAAGGTTAATATGGAAGGCCATTGCATGTGTAAACATCGAAAGAGGTAGTCTTTCGTGTAAGCGAGGATCTACTGCTCGCATCTTTTCATAGGTCTCGTTGATAACAAGCATCGCGCCTGAAAAGTCAAAATTTTGACAGTGCGCATCCCTTTCTGGAATTAGAGAAGAATGTGGACCGATATCATACATCGGCTCATCTCTCATCCCCTCTTCAACTGTACTAGGTTTTACCTCTTGAGGCGGTCCAAAATCTTTCTTTGGTGGTGCGTTCTTCTCTTTAAACTGCTTTGTCCTATTATTAGGCCGGCGGTTTACCTCCCGGTGTGGCTCATATGGGAATGGTTCATAGCCCCAGTCTTCTAACGACTTTCTGTCATTGTAATGGTCGTAAGCTCTACGTGCGTCTCGGGCTGCGTTGCGCTTTATTACGGACTTACGGCTACGATGTTCCGTTGCGATTATTGGTAGACGTTGTTGACAGCTCCAGATTCGATGTCCTTGGATGCTGTCGGTTTTGTTGCTTCTGCGTTGTTGCGATGTTTGCGTTGATCTCGACGCGCTTCCTCGGCGGGGATGATCCTGATGATTCGAAGTCTGCTTCAATCGGCGGACCTGACGCTCCAGACGTCAGCGAATCTGCTCGATGTTGCGGATGCTGTACTTCAGCACAGCCGAATCCGTTGGTGATGCAAAGGTAGTGCTCACGAGAGATTAAAAGCGGGTTCGAAAGGTCTATATGGAAAATGATTCGGCATGATTGAGCGGACGCTTTCAGCCGAAGTAATCGAACCAAGATAAACAGAATCGCGCGCCGCTTTTGGGAATAACGAGCCGCGACCGATGCACCGTTCGGATCGAAAAGTTCGCAACGATCGAATCACCGCGTTCGAGAAATTCGCGGAGCGTTTTCGGGACCGCGTTTGAATATTGAATGAGAACGACAGAGTTCGCAGCGAGGTTTGCTCGACCGTCGAGCGAGCGATTGCACGGCGCTCCCGGTTTCAATTTGCCGAAAGATAGATCGACAAAGAAACGGCGACACGCGACTGGCAGTTAACCGTCGGCCAGGGTCGTCTTTTTGTGTTCCAGCGTTTTCTTTCGGAGCACGTGGAAATTCCCATGACGCATCCGGACGGTTCGATCGGCGAAACTTCGAAGGGGAAAGTAGAAAGGGTCTGGGGCAGAGGTAGGGGACGTTGGGAAGCTGGTAATAGCCCGGGCAGGGTCAGGGGACAATGGAAAACTGGCAAGGGTCTGGATTAGGAGCGAGGGACGACGGGAAACTGGCGAGGGTCTAGGTAGAAGCAGGGGACGATGATAAACCCGGCAAGGGTCTAGGTAGAAGCAGGGATCGATGGGAAAGTTTTCGGACGGTCGTCCAACCGGCTCGTGTACCTCTGGCTCGCCACCAAATCGCACGAACCGCCAACTTGTAATATCGCGGCCGGAGATCTCTTGACTTGCTAATAGAAAT